ATCTGGGGGCGAAGGGACCTGCTTGCCTGGCGGCAATGCCAGATGGATCCCGGCAATATTACTGTTTTATCCCTACGGGTATAAGTTTGAGTTTTTCTCTCCTAATGCCAAGTATTTAAAACCTCTAGAAACCAATGATTTGACAATCAATGATTGCGCGATAGTTTCAATTTGAATATTCAAAGGCTCAACAAAATGGGCTATCTTTTTGTGAAACTGAGCACATCCCCATCTAGCAGAGGGTCTGGGGGAATAAGATTTGGTGGGGCCACCCTCCCCACCCTTTCCTTTTGGGACATATGCAGGGTTTTATCCATCTTTCCCCGAACAACGCAGATGCCTCAAAACCAGCTCAGTGTTTTCCCCTCAGACACACAGGCTGGGCTCCAGTCCTCTCATATTTCATTCACTACCTGCAGAGAGGACTCTGCAAGGGACTGAGCTGCTTTTTGCACATTTTTGCACGTTTTAAGGTTAAATACTAAAGGTTTGGGGCCAAAATGGCAGTGGTGTATCAAAAAGGCCACCGTGGAGCACTCAGGTAGCTGAAGCTACCTGAATCCTGCTTCTTTCCGCAGCACTCCCTTTCCTCTGCCCAGATGCTGGGCTTATATTGGAGATTATTAACGTTTTCCCCTAATTCAGACTATTTGCTTTTGCTTCACAAATCAAGGCCTCTGTTCTTACATGCTTCAGCTCTGGCCTGCCCTGTGTGCTGCAAGTGGTAGGGTTTCAGTGTGTGGTAGGATGACACAGTTTTTGGATAACCCTTCATCCCTATCCAGTACTGACAGAGTTGGGTTTTTTTAGGTTGCATTTAAACTTTTCTCTGGGCACCGCAGTCTCTGCTGTGCCCCGGGAATAGCCACCTGAGGCACAAATCAGGCCAGGCTGTTAATAATCTACTAGCAATTCTGTCTGGCTATTGTTGCAGCCGAATCTTTTCCTTCAAGTTGAACAAATACACTCGATTTCTGTGGGTAGTTGTCGCAGTGGCAATGCCATTCCTTGCGCTGAAACATGCTTCTGCAGCTCCTGGTAGGCCAAGCCATGCTCAGGGCAGATCTGCAGGGGCTCTTCCCACAGGCTTTTCTGGAGGGGAGCCCTCTTCCCCCACTGCGATGCGGCAAAAAGCAGCATGCAGTGCTGGGGGAGTCACAGAAGGGGAGTCTCAAGCCATTACACAGGCCTGCCCCTGCTAAGTGGTTTGGGAGCTGAAGTCCTTGCATTGCTGGGGCTGCTTCCCACTGAAGCATCGCTGGTGGGTAGGTAGGCTCTTCCCACAGGCTTTTCTGGAGGGGAGCCCTCTTCCCCCACTGCGATGCGGCAAAAAGCAGCATGCAGTGCTGGGGGAGTCACAGAAGGGGAGTCTCAAGCCATTACACAGGCCTGCCCCTGCTAAGTGGTTTGGGAGCTGAAGTCCTTGCATTGCTGGGGCTGCTTCCCACTGAAGCATCGCTGGTGGGTAGGTAGAGTCTGGGGAGGGTGTGACTGTGGGGGGGGAGCCAGCACTCCCAGGAGCTGGGGCAATGTTTATTTCTGTAACCAAGGACTGGACAGCAGAGTCGTGATTGAGCTGTATGCCGTAAGGAAACATGAAGCGCTGTGTTTGGGGTATTCTTGCATGTCTTGGGTTTCAGAGCTTTTCCAGGCTCACAGAGACCCTGCCTTGGTCAAGAGCCGAATGCCAGAGTAGGTCAAACACTTCCAAGACAGCCCAAAAACTTTCTGTCCCTGCTTCTCTCTCAGACCCTGATGGGAGTACAGCCAGACTGACCCTGGTTTCCGCATCCATGCAAGGCCCTTGAAGAAGATACGGCTGAGGTAGTGGCTGATGACAAATGCTTTGCCACTTTGCCAAAGAGCAGCCGCAGGCAGCAATTCAGCCTGGCGATGCCGTCAGCTGTGGTGTGGAACAAAGCATTGGGGTTCTGCAGGCCTTAGGTTTGGAGGTGCAGGGACTGGGTGTGGGGCTAGGAAACCTGTGTACGCCTCAAGATGCTCTGGGCCTCCTTGCCTTGTCCTGTCCCATGGCCAGGGGAGCAGCTCTGCCTGAGCAGGTGCCACCCTGGGGTGGCTCCACACCTGCTGCTTGCAGAACACTGTGGTGCCCACGCACCAAACGAGGGGGCAGCCAGGCTCATCTTGACTCGCGCTTTCCACATGTGCAGAGGGGCCCTGGCTGCTGGCTCTTGCCCTGGTCTGAGCCTTCCCTGTCTCTCCAGGGCCCAGCTAGCAAAGGGCAGTGAGCAGAAGTGTGATTTGAGGCACAGAAAGCTGCTGGGGTTCGCTTTTCCGAGCAGGTCTGAACCAGGCTGGGGGATCAGGAAGCATTAGTAGGGACCCCAAGCCCAGCCAGGACCAGGGCTTGGTGCTCCTGGCCGGCAGGAGTCCTCTTGTGCTGGGGCTCAGGGGGCTCAGTCCAGTGGCTGTGCAGGCATGTACAGAGCTTTCCCTTTTGGGGCAGCTGCCGAGATCCCTGGGAGAACTCGCTCCATCTTTTGATGCCAGAACATATCCTGGATGGTTTCCGGGTGCCTGAACAGCCAGGGAGGTATTGTCTGCCAGCTGTGGGCTGAGCAAGGTGCTTGTACGGCTGCTGCGTGTGCACCGAGGTGCAGGGGGAATCCTGGGCTGCAGGATGAGGGGATCCAGGGCTGGTGCTAGGTACTATGCTTGTAAAAGGAAGAGCTTTGTGTAGAGGACTGGTGTTGGTGCCGGGCTGGGGGACGAGGTGGGGCTGAGCAGGTTACCTGCGCCGGGTGCGGGAGCAGCAGTGAGCGCTGCACAGACTCCTCTGTGCGTGTGTTCGTGTGAGCAGAGCTACCTCTAGTGGCCACGGACCCCGACCTGCAGTGACAATTCAAATCAGATCTGTTCCCAATTAGAGCCCCAGGTGGGTGCCGCTGGCAAGGGGCTTCGGGTCACCTCACTTGTACTGACCTGGCGTAGGCAAGAGAGGGAACAGCTCCGTGGTTTTTTCAGGGCAGGAGGGAAACTGGGGAGGGTGTGTTGTGTGCATTGCAGGTGGGAAGGATGGCGAGGCTTCCTTGTGCACAAATCAGCAGGCAGGACGGTGCCCCGACAGTCCCTGCCAACACCAAGCCTGTCTGCCAGGCCCTGGTGTAGTACGGTGATCTTTACCTGGTTGTAACCTTCCGTGCTGTAGGCTCAAGCGTGCCATACCTTTGCTACTCCAGCCGTAACTCTTGCCCAAGACAATGCCATGAGCACAAAATGCTAGCGTTAGGGATGTACCTTTATGCTGCTAAGTAACCAGATACTATTATATATAATCTGTGCTATTAAGGAGGACTTTTCCCAGCCCCTGCCTTGCTGCCAAGCCTTCCCAAGTTTCTTCTGGTAATATTGCTCTGTAAATGTTTTCTCAACCTCTACAGGCACCACTATAAGCTACATGTGGTATGTCTGAGTGTAAACAGAGCATAAAGCTTTGCATGTTGTTAACATCCTCCGTTTGAAGGATTAGCTTTAGGAAAAATCATACAAATAATTAATTTGCTTCAATAATGGTCCATTTTTCTTTTCCTCCAGCTCTTATCTCTCATCAATAAGTTCTCCGGCCTTCATAAGCCCCCCAGATGGGACTTCCATCCTCTTTTGCCCAGGCAGAATTATCATGAGGAGGAGGTACCTCTGAGGACTGCTCTGGTGAGATGTGGTTCATCCTGGAGGTAAGCTCGTTTGCCACGGTCATGAGTGGTGAGAAGGAGTAGGGTGAGGTGGCAGCATAGCTGGGGGAATAGTGGACATCTTCAAGAAGAGGCAGAGGGTAAGGCTGGGCTCCAGGGATGGCTGGGGTCCAACCTGAGCTTCGATATGGGGAAACATCTCCGGACTCATGTGAGGAGAGGCAGCTGGCACTGGCAGGTAGTGCTTGAAGAGGGTCTGAGCACGCGCTGTCTGACTGACTGAGACTGTTGGGTGAGGTCTGCTCCCAGGAATCTCTCTGCACACAAGTGGGGAGAGAAAACAAGAAAGACCCTTAGGAATAAAAGCTTGTCCTGGAGATAATGGCATATCTAGCTTGGCTTCACCAAGCCAAGCTAGCCCCAGAGCCTAGCCAGGAACACTCACAAGGGGTTTTATTGCTCTGGAGCACTATTTGGTGCTAAAACTACTGAAAGGAAGCCTCCATTCTGTCAGTAGTGGGTAAGGCCTGGAACAGGTTCGTGGTGGGACTGACCCCGCAGGTCCCAGCAGCTCTGCCCTGGGGGCATCACTGAAGCTGGCTCCTGGGAAGTGGCTTGGATGGGGATAGGCAACAGCCTTGAGCTGACAAAGGATGTTTCTAGAAACTTAAGGAGCTTAATAGAGAAGTTGTTTCGGGAAGTAGGGAAGGAGGTTAATTTTAGAACTGACCTCCAGTGGGAAGAGAGGACAATTAGGTGGGGGATGGCAACAAAGAGAAAAAAATGTTTCCCCTCAGCCCTGCTCCATCTACTGTGTGCTCTGCTGTGGCTGTCTCCTGTAACAGCCACATGCTTCCCACACAAGTCCCTCTGACCTAACCTCAGCTTTAACTTGGGGTAGTTTTTATTAGGTGACTGAGAACTGTAGACTCACTCACTAGTAGGAAGTGCGCTGTGTCATTATGGAAGGATGGTAGGAGAGTGGGCACAGAAGGGCTGAAGAAGGAGCTGGTACCAGCTGCGAGGGGAGTAGCATGGTAATCCCCATATTGGTCGGTGAGATATGGGTCTAGAAGTGCCGAGTAGCCCTGAGTGGCAGAGGAATCACACGAGAAGGGCTTGGACCCTAGAGAAGATGAGCAGACATCACTGACAAACTGCTTCGTGTTGTGGAAATCCAACTCAGTTGTGAAGGATCTCCTGACGCCGTAGTAACCAGCCATGGTAGGTGAGCCTGTAGTGTTCAGAAAAAAAGGGTTGACTAAAGGGGAACCATAATAACAGCACCTGGAGGCCCACAGAGCTACAGGCACCTCTGCAGGTGCAAAATAGAGCCCTTTTCTCTCTAGCATCACCCAGGGCAGGAATCACCCCTGTCTTGAAACAGGTGTGTCGGCCCAAGTGCTTTCAACACCTCGGACTGCCCTAATCCAGCAGATGACTTCCATCAGCAAATCAAACGTGTATTGGGAAGCTTCAGGTATGGGGTCAGGAGGATTGAGGTTAGTTTTGCTAGCTTTTGCTTCTTCGTTGCTCTGCTACAGCCCTTGAGGAGGAGGATGGTCTTACAAAACTGCCTGCCTCACTTCCAGTCTCACTCCCCTTTCCCTGCCCTGCTCAAGGGACAAAACAGATCAGTTTCTGATTTGGTACTTTGTTCAGCTTCAGGGAAAACTGGACGATGCAGAGGGTAAGGAAGGGGTTCTATGTGGCACCTCTATCAAAAGAGGTGGGAATTGCTTTAATTACCTCTCCCCTCCCTGGGAATTTCTTACAAGATTACAAAGGTCTTTCTTTTATTATCATTGTTCTTGTTTTGACTCTTTCAGTTACTTTCCTCCTAGGCTTTCTCTGAGGGGTGGCCCTGCTTCACTGCTCCTTCGCTCCGTTCGTGTCCTTTGGGGGAGAAGAAACAGGAGCAGTGTCACCTGTCCCACCGGCATGGAAGGTATTTATCAGTGGAGGAAAGTCTCACCTGGCATTTGGACAAATGTTGACTGTGGTGTGCTGGTGCTGCCCTGCAAAAAATAAAGGTATATTACAAAATGTCCTTTCAGAGCAAGGCAGCCCTCTAAGCATGTAGTTCAGGAAGGCACTGGCATAATTCATGTGCACTATTTGAGCCTTGCTGCCATCGGTATGAAGAGCTTAACTACAAGATTTCAAGCCTGAGGCCTCTCGGGTATTAGTAGATGTAGGCTAAGAAGAGATTTGAAGGTCTTGTGTAGAGCTGATAACAGTGGAAATATCAAGATAACTGGCTTCTTTCTCATGTAATACAGGGTTCCTTAATGCAGGTGTAGTGCTGGGCAAGCATTCTGGTGTTGGCACAGAACGGTCTCAATAAGCTGGTATCTAAGCCCTTGGCTGATCAAAGCAGGCAGATCTGTGCTGCCCATATTCTAGCCCGGTTCTCCTGTGCTGTGTTTACCTGCAGCAGAGCCGCTTCAGCTGGCCCCTCCTAGGAGAACAAGCACGCTGTGCGTAGAAGGCTGTTGTTTCTAGCTCCTGTTTGGGTGCTACAGTGGTACTGATAATAATAATCCCCTCTTTGTCCCTAGGTAATGAAGAATTAGCCATGAGTGACCCAAGTGTTCACAGTGGCTAATTCCTTACAAAGCACTATGGGGAAGGCATCTGCTTCTCTGAAGCAGAGCTCATTTGTGGCATTGCATTAAGTTCTGTTTCCGGACCTCCAAACCCATAGAGCAGAAATGCGGTGCCCGTGGCTATATTCACTTTAGCTGTGCTGTCACCCTGGCCAGTGATGGTGGCAAGCTATTTTCCGTTTGCATAGTGCAAACAGGAGGTTCCTGCCATAGCAAGCAACCAAATTCAGAGGTTTAGATTTGAATTAAATTTGCCGGTGCTAGGACTTCCTTTTACAGTGGAGGGAGGCTTGCAGCTGCTCCCTGCTCCGTCATGAAAATGAGCTCTGAGCCCACACAAGTCCATGGGTTGCAGAAGTGATAGGAGGTATCAGGAAAGAGCCCTTTGGCTCGCCGGCAGATGAGTATTCATGTTGCAGGGTCGGGGCTGGGGCTTGCACCTGTTTCCAGCTGGGCCATTTTTGGCCACAGACCTCAGTGTGGATCATGGCTGGTGTAATGTACACTGTCTCACAAAACTAAAGCCTCCACATGCAAATCTGGTCTTAGCAGACAGCTTCCTCCCAGCATCCATATCACTTGAGTATTCCCTTCCTCTGCTTCAGGGTTTTTCTCCACCATGTCCTACGCCTGCCCATGGCCATCGTACCCTGCAGCCAGCTTATGTCTGCGTTCAGCAAGGAGGAATCTCTTTGAAAGTCATGATGCAGTCCACTGCACTAGTTTTAGACCCCAGTCTTAACACTACTGGGAAGCAGTCTCACTGTCATCTGGCATCCCTAATACTCTGTTTGAGAAAAACATTGAGTTAGGAGGCACAGATGGTTCATCTGCATCAGAGGGCTGCGGTGATGAGAGCTGGGATGCTCTGCTGGAGGGGCAGGAAGGTCCATGGGTACAGCTGCCAGCCTCTTAGTATAGAGTCTTTCAAATTACCAGGGCATTTAAGCTCATCTTTGATCCTGTCTGTTCAACAGCCACTGAAACTATCTAATTGTGTGTCACAGGCATCAGGTCCTCTTGCACACACCTACGATGAGTAGCCACAGAGCTGACATTAGCTGCAAGGGCTTCACCTGCCTGAATTCAATTGTAAGAACTCTGTAGCAGCCCATCTTTGGCCTTCACCATAGCAAACAACTGCATGCTTGCGGAGACCTGTGTTTCATTTGCCTTCTGGCTCCTTATCAGGCGATGAATGGTTTGGCTTAATTGAAGCCCATTAGTTCATTTCCTCCCTGCATTACTTCCTTTCAGTGCTGTGGGACTGGGGTAGCTGGATCTTCTGCAATAACATCAGTGTGTCTGTTTAGCATCACTTGAGCCCACAGTGTGTTCAGCTGTTGATAAGCTTGGTCTCTGCCTGCCTGGTGCGTGATCAGGCAGAGATATTGGCTGGGGGTACTGCAGAGAGTTGTGTTGCTTCATTATCTTGGTAACCCATGAGTGTTCTTCAGCTAGAAGGCAACATTGAGGGGCTAAACATAAGGATCCAGGTCAAAATAATGACCTGGTCCTGCAATGGGAACCTATGGTGCACTTTGATCATACTTTGCCTCCAGCGTGTCTCCTCTCTCGGTCCAAACTGTAGTACAGCAGCTGAAGTAATAAAAATTATTAACAAAAGCAAAGCTCAGTCTGGGCAGGGCACCTCACTGGTTTGCTGACAGCGAGTCTGCTGAATGATCTGTCCCTGGCCTCCGAGTGGTGCTGGGAATAGTGCTTCATCCATGTATCTACCATTTTCTCCACCTGACAAGAGAGGGCAGTCCCTTTGTCACGCAGAGGCTAACTGCTATTTCAGGTGTACGTGGTGGATGACCCAAAGGGAAAAAAGTCAGACCCTCACTAAAACTTGTGACCAAGCCCTTCTGCTGTGGAGCTGGTGAGAACTCAGAAGCCCAAATTGTGTGGTACATGCTGGTTTCCTATGACCTGATGTGTGCAGGGCCTGGCTGTTATTAAATTGTTGCTGTTCAATAGAGGTAGCTAAATTATATGGCACCATAAATATACAAAGGAGTGTTCAATTATGTTTGGGGGCTTTTTTTGGTTTGCTTTTTTTTTTGTTTATTCTAAGTTATATTGTCTGATAAACAGAGCTGCACTACAGCTGTTCTTTTCATGATATGTTCAGGCAAATACGGATGTTTGCCCTGCACAATAATTTTCCATCTCTCTTAGGGAATTAGCGACAGGGCTGATTTTGCATCAGATAGACATACAACTGCTAAGCTTCCAAATAAAAAACAAGGGGCAATAAAGCAAGCAGCAAGCTTTTTGCAGGTCTCAGGGTTTTTGATCGCAGCTGTTGAAACTGCCGCCTCCAGAAGGGGAGCAAGTAAAGCACGATAGTCATCAACCAGGAGCTCTTTTCTTGGTGACTGCAAATGCAAGGGTTGCTTCCTGCTGCTCACCAAAGCAGTCTTCCTAAATGCCTGCCAGGTAGGACCATGTGTTTCCCAGTGGCTGTCCGTGGCCCAGAGGGTCTTCTGCCTTTCTGCATTACCTGAAGGCTGTGAAGACATCTGTGGCTAGATCTTTGTTTGGTAATGCCTGTGCTGTTTCTACCTGTTTTGTTACACAAAGTAAATATGCATGAAAGTAACAGTGGAAAAAAATACTTGCAAGTCCCTTTGAGGTCTCTTTGTTTTGCTAAAGGCAAAAAGCCTGAGGCAAATGGCTTGGGGGAAAATGAACATCAAAATTCCCAATATGTGTCTTCTGCTGGCAGTAATTTGGGTCTCTGCTCCCACCCTTTCCTTCCAGGACTGGGTTTCAGCAGCTTGACTGCATCTCCTCATCTGTCAGTGGTCCCATTGCTCCCAATTAGCATGGAAGTGAACTGCTGCTGCTTACTAAAGGTGAGCCTTGAGAGCAGACAGGGAATGGTTTACTGCTGGCATCTGCAGTATTGTGTCCTCTTCTGGGGACAGCATTGCTTTTCTGACTAGTAATTGAGGAAAAAAAAAGATGTAGCATGCTATAATTTGATTTAGGTCTCCTGTTGCCATAGAACCATTTTAAGAAGTCGCTTTTTACAAACTGATGCTTGGCCTCTTTCCAGACCATAATATCGCTTCATTCCCTGGCATTCTAGTGTGCCAGAGAGGAGCTGGAAGGAGCACAACATTCAGGGAAGAACATCTCTTGCTGTGGCGCTGAGTTGTTCAACTGTAGCTAGTAAAAAGGAAGTTCACTTGGAAAGGTGTCATATGCAAGATGTGAAAGCAATGAGAAATTTAGCATTACTGATTTGCTTTAACAAAACAGAAAAAAGACTTTAATCCCTCGAAACTTCACTGATGTAAAAAATCGAGGAAATACCTATCATCTTTTGAGGCAAACACTAGTGTTGTAAATATTTTTGTTATTCCCTCTCAACATTGGCAGTGCCTGGAGCTCAGCATAAATACTCTTTAAACCGGAGGATTACATGACATGACTTTTCTGTTTGTTTTTTTGTTTCTTTCTTTCTTTTTGTTTTTTTTTTCTTTAAAAAGAGTGAGTGGGAGTGGGAAGTGACTTACGCTGAAGCAGGAGCTGCTGCTCTGCCTGGATCGTTTTTCTGCAAGAAGATCTTTGACTGTGTGTTTCACTCGCACTCCTTGGTA